GGCTGGATCGCAGCCACTTTAAGAAAGATTTTATAGCCTAAAAATTTTCCGAACATTTTTCTAGAAGCTTATACTTTGAGAGAGCTTGATTTTCGCTTGAATGTACTAGGAACGCGCGGTCTTTGCTCATTATATAGCCGATGGTCGGTTGTGCAATGGAGTATTGAATTTTACGGTATATTTCTGTGAGAAAATTTTGCAAAAAAAGCGGAAGTACTTTTTTTTCAGTATTTTGGAAAATCCAAAAAACTGCTTTTTTGGAATTTTTAAATTTTTTTTCTCTTCGAAAAAACGATGAATGCTGCCGTTTTCCTAGCATTAATTGTACTAGGTCTACTCTACGTGTACATAGCGAAATTTATACAGTCGCTTTTCGCTTGAGGTTTTAATGCGGCTTAGATGGGCCTCAGCTATCAGCCAAGTTTGAGCCAAGATTTCTCGGCTGGAAAATTTTCAAATATACCTCGCACCAAGCGTTTTGCAGCATAGAGCTTTGAAATCATTGTCTACTCTTCATGGATTTAGAGCAAGGAGATTGAAGGGAAAGAATTTCATATTTTAATCACTTGTCTTTGAAGGCATGAAACTTCGGCCTCAACGAAGATTTGCGAAAACGAAAGCACATGTTAGAAACTAGAGGAATCGGGCTTCCCGACGCTATAAGGGATTTTGAAGAAAAATGTTTTTTCTTTGAAAATTAGTTCTCTCAAAAAGGGGTTAGAAAAACGTGCATTAATTATGAGACAACCTAATATATAAAGCTGAATGTCTGTTTGTCTGTATGTATGTCTGTCTGTCTGTACGTATGTTCCGAACAGAAAATTCCATTTCTGAATCGATTCGGACCAAACTTGGCGCACATTCACTTCGGGCCCCGGCGGGTATCATAGGCTACTTTTCATTATCGATCGACATCGATTTTATCGATTTTTATCGATTTTTTTGCTGAGTTCACCTACGGGGCTGGGAGTTGGCAGAAGGGGGTAATCGAGCATGCTGATTACGAACACAATATTAATTTTTAGAACTATCCACTATTTTATCTATTTTATCGATTTGTTTGCAAAATTTGAGCTGCGGGGCTGGGAGTTTGCACAGGGTGGAGGGGGTAATCGCATGCTGATTACGAGTGCAATATTAGTTTGGCCGGCTATCCGGGTCCCAAAGTTTCTTTGTCGTAGAGCTTGCTCAAGCTTCGTGTATAAGGGTTATCCTACGTGCTGAAAACAGTTATCACACCTTCTCCGCGGAACGTCTCCCCGTGTGGTTACGGAAGGTGTACGGTAGGAAGTCAAAATCATGAATTCGGATGAAGTTTGGTCCAGAGAACTTATTCGACATGCTGATTACGAATTTCATACTCTCTCTGCATATTGGAATCTTTTCATAGAGTTATTGTGATTATACGGTATAGGGTCGAAAACATAGATTTGCTTTAAACTTCGTCTAGAGTGGTCATTTAACGCGCCGAACATGAATATCATGATGATTTCGCAGGATAGTGCATTTTCATGGGTTACGGTGGGTATAGATGGGTCGAAGTTTCAGATTTGCTCAAAACCTTACCTGTAACGGTTCACAAGTCTACTGCTTACGAATATGATGCTTGCTCGCTGTCATAACGCATTAGTGAAGTTATGGTGAGTTGCAGGGTTTGAATGGACATTTTTTCGTTTCGGGCCAATCTACAATTAGATCCAAGATATTCACGAAATGAGGAAAAGGTTGTTTTGCATGGCAGTCCCAGCGCCATCCTGATATCCTGTCCCAAAGCGTAACGCACGCGACAAATCTCCCTCCCCCTGTTTTTGCTTAGGCAAAAGCCGCCGAGGGGTGTATCCGCGCGGCAGTGGTCCTAAAAGAAAAGCATTACGGTCGTAGGAAACTTTTTTACCACATGAATTGCCTTTATTGTGGGGATTAAAGATATTCTTGAAACAACACTTTAGGTAATTCCCTGCCAAGGTTTCAGGCAGGTTTATAATTTTTACTCGCTACCACGCGATGACTATGATATTTGTCATCAGCGGCTTAAAAACCCCCATATACCAAGTTTGAGCAAGATACACCACGAAAATTTAGGGCCCGGATAGCCGGATAACGCCATCAGTTTTTAGAATTATCCTTACTTTTATCGCTTTTATTGTTGTTTTTTTTGCAATGTTTTAGCTACGGGGCTGGGGTGTTTGTGAGGAAGATAGGTGAGCATACTGATTGCTAACACAGCGGGAATAGGGAACTGCATGTAGAAGTGGGCACAGGTAAAGGTGTACAGGTATAGAAATGGAACCTTTATCGTTTTAGACAGGGCCGGGCGGAGCCGGGTAAGCCAGCTAGTACTCAATATGTTTAGATATGTCAATAAATTGTATTAGGTCTTTCCATAAGTTTGCAGTGTTCATTCTCATTTTCATTTGTTTGAGGATCAGTTGATTCGCGGCAAGATGCGTATGTCGTTGTGATTAGCTGAACAAACTGTTCAAATTAAATTAGTTACTTTCGATAAAAACTGATCTCCTTTGGTTCCTCAGTTTCTGAAGAAGTAATATTCGAACGGCAGAAAGAAGTATTTGAAACACTTGCTCGTATTTCCGTTGAAAAATGCATTTTCCGCAAATTTTCTCGCCGATTCCGGACCATTGGCGTCTTTTGGTCAATATGAGACAAAAAAAGGATTGGGTTCTTTCAAAAAACAAAGAATTGTAGGATGTCCCCTGAACAAGACTTTTGCAGGCTGTGCAAGAGTTTCTGCACTGAGAATTGCTAGACAAATACAAGACGGTCGCTTGTGCCATACTGTACGCAACCCTACGCACTGCCTAAAGGAATTCCTACTGTAGAAAAGGCTTAATGAACAGGTCCAGTAAGCTTTTTTGTGGGACAAAACTTGAACTCCTACGACGTCGGTCGTCATAACCGTTCTTTAAGGCCCCGGGCAGACTTCACGCGATTTGATCGTCGCGACTGAATCGCGACGAGACAACTGTTACAACATCATTCCATGCCGATCACCTTGCATTCGGTTGTGATACTTTTCCAACCCGAAATTTTTGAAAGTGAAATGGAAATGAATGGAAATCTTGGCGATTAGATCGCGACGATTAAGTCGCGTGAAGTCTGACCGGGGCCTAAGACTTGACCGGGAGGTAAATCAATCCGCACTCCTGAATCTCGCTCTAGCATATTATCATGTGCTAGTCAATCACAAAACTTATGAACGGCGTATTTTGAATCTGAAGACGATCTGAGGAGCTGGTTGGACAACTAGTTTGGGACCAATCCCGCTGAGTTTTGGAAAACGGAAATGAAAATCTAATTTTGTGGTGACGGAAAAGTGCGCAACAACGGAGCGAACATTGTTGCCTGAATTTTGCTTGAATTTCGTTATTCCTTCAATTTATCAAAACTCTACGAACTTATGAAACCACCTACTTAATACATTCCGAATGCAAATTTTCCTGTGAAGACCAATGCTTGAAACTTCGCATACTTACATCTTCGACTCTGAAGAAGAACATAGGCATATTTTGCGGCGATTCGCCAGGACATTCTATCGATTCATTTGTTTACTTTCATCCAGGGAAATTGAAGCTCATCGTGTTCAGGCATTGAAGCACATGTTCTTTTGCTGGTCAATAAGATGCAGCAGATTGGATACGAAGAAAACACCTTACTGCAAGGAATGCTGCAGTGCTGTAGCAGTGCGAGAAGGAAACACTCGGGTTGGTGAAGCGTAGAGTTTTGGGGATAGGATCAAATATACATAGCTGCACGGATTATTTAAATCCGACTTTCATGCCTGGGTGAAATCCGGGTTGACAGGCAATACATGTATAAAAGAAGTAATAACTATGAGATCATTGTGATACACCAAGGCTATCCGTGAAAAAAACTGCTCAGATAATCGCTGGGGGCAGGCGGTCCGCGAACTCGCGCTTTCTTGCAGGCGGTCAGCAGAATTTTTGGGCGTGGCCAAACCTTCAGCGAGCGGTACTTCCCTTACTGTAACACGCTGCCAGCAGGCGCAATACAAATTTTCTGCGAGCGGTCGTCAAATAATTTCCTTCCGCGGGCGCAGACAAAATTTTCAGCGAGCGCTCTGACTCTTCTGGCGCAGTTTCGGGCCTACGCCGAGTAAAGGTAACAGTCTATATGACAGAGGTATCATTGCTGGGTTAATAACTCGAGTTTGGGGTACTTTCTCAGCGCAAGGTATCTACGTGGCTGTGAGGTCTTAAAGACCATGCGGCCCTCAAAAAATTTGCATATTCTCGGGAAACTCCACGAGAATGCGGCCACTGCGCCGCAATTAATGAAAGCGGCGACTGCTCTCTGAACGTTTGAAGTGGTTAACATTCTTCCGAACAAAGCTAACCTCAAGAATTCAGCGAACTATTTTTTTCGGTGCTCGCTTGCCTCTAAATAGCATGGCCGCCTATTCTCGGCACTTCTCTGAGTAATTGCAACATGAAGTGTCCCTCATTCCTTTGCAAGGAAGAGTGCCAGATGCGCTTTCTTATTTTTCCTCAATGCGCTGCAATCCAATGCATGCAAAAAGGGCTCGCAGCCGCTGATAATATACAGTAGTAAGCAAAATATAGTAAATCACAAAATACCGCTCAGGGTTTTCGAAGAGAGTCGCAGTTGAGTTGCGCCGTTCTGCACAACATCAATGCTCTTAGGATGCATTTCCATGCGAATCATAGTCCTCCCTTTTTGCGGCAATCTAATGAACGACCATCTGTCGCCGACAATTATAACCATTCACTGCATCGCTTCGGCTGAGTCGCTGATTCGAAAACCACTGGATACTAAGTAGCCTCAGCGGCACTTCTACTATTCGACAAGAGGTCGAGCTGCCAATCTTTATTGTTCTCCAAACAACCCATACCATTGCTTTTTCCGAATAAAATGAGCACGGTATTTGCAAATCTGTGTCCATTCAGCAAGACGAAAACAGCTATCTTTGTAGGCAAAAAAGGGTTCATTCTTAGATTTCATATGCTCTTAAGCTGTCGCAAAAATGGTGGAAGGCGGCCACAAAAAGAAGAAATCAAAAGGCTCCAAAGACAGTTGTGAGTAATTCTGTCCCGTTTCTTACAATACCTTTGCAAGTTTGTCACATGATTTTGTGTTTCCCTTGTCAATAGCCAAGTTCAAAAGATAAGACGATTTCTGCGTTTGCAGCAGAGGACAAAGAGACAATTAGAAAAACAAAATCCATTGAGGAAAAGGGCAGGACAAGGTTGATGGCGCATATAGACCCAAAAGCAGTGGTACGACGGTATCCATATTCACTCACACTTTGAAAGTAAATTCACTTACAGGACCCGTTTTTCAATGAGATACAAAAGATAGTTGCGAAAGGTTTCAGCACAAACATGGAAGTGGATAATCCGGATGAAAGGCCTGTGCTACCACAAAACACCAAAATTACTACAACTAAAAATTCGTAAGAGTTTTGTTCAACACATAGGCGAGTGTGGCGAAGGGTCAGACTCTAAGCTAAGTGATTTTGAGGTAAACGACTGGCCAATTATTTGAAAAACCATTGCGTCACCTCTTGCGCAAAGGGTCGCACTTTTCTATTCTTATGCCATACTCTTTTCCGCATAACATGACATTGAAACATACTGCACAATGCCTCTTTTACGAACGACTCGTCAACAATCACTCATTCCTGAGCTTTTTCGTGCGAGATCGTTTGCGTGGATAAACTTTGGAAGATGAAGATCAAATGCAGTTTTAAAACACTTTTTAGTTTTTCCATGGCTTGGTAGTTGCCATAAGGATAACATCCACGGCGAGCTACATCCCTGTGCAAAAATCTTTTCAAATGCTCAGGTAAATAAACGCAAATTGACCATTTACGCAAATAATTCGTTCTGGCGCGTTTCGTGGAGTAATAGAATTCCATCAGTTTTTTTGGGCTAAATATCATGGCTTGCACATTCACTTGCCAAACATAATCACAGCTTTGCAAAAAGTGGTAATACGGACCCAATATTGCGCGCCAGAAGTTAGGTGGATCCACTTAAGGTACAATTTTTGAGGGACCTACTCAATGGCTCTGCTTATGCTTTGGCATGGTGAATCTGGATGGTGGCGGGGCGTGTTGTGCAAAAAAAATGCGGCTTGATACCTTGTCTGAGACTCGTTCTGTGAATTTCGTTACAGACACACACACACACACACACACACACACACACACACACACACACACACACACACACACACACACACACACACATCTGTGACAACGGCACCCTATTCTTTTCCCATTTTCCGAAGTTTGCAGGGAGTACAAGATCAATTGATTTCTCCCCCTCATTCCACCCGCAGTCGAATGGGGTGGCTGAACTTCTCGGCGAGTTCTGAAGCAAAGAGAAGGAAACATGATGCCTTGCAAAGCTACTGCTCCGTTATAGCTGTACGCCTTGCCCGTCTTCGCCTGACAATCGTACGCCTGCCGAGATGCTTCTTACGAACACTTATCTCCTCTCGTATTTGGCCATTGACGCTCGTTCGGTAATTGACCCACATCAAACTAGTCCTCCGAATCAAAACGAAGATGAAGCCACGTAGCCTGTGGAATCAAGAAAAAAACATGTACGATGCCGTTTCGTTTCCACTCACAGCTACCGCAATCCCTCGTCAAGCCCTACCACTTTGTCCGCGCGCTGATACATCGGTAACTCACGATACGCATTCACTTTTCTCGCAGGGAGGCACTTCCGCACCTTGAGAAGTAGTTGAGCAGAGACAACACAAATATCGCCCAGTCTTATCAACAGCTATTTCACGAGAGATATCCTTGCAAAGCAGTGGGAAACAAGAATTTGAACCCTCATGTTCTTGAGTTGCAACAAAACGAAGAATATTTTGAAATTCCCGAATGACTTCTTAAGACTTCACTAGAAATAACTGAGCAAGTTTAGCGTACTACGTTTTCTTTCTATAAAACTTGCTAAGCCTCTCGTCTCTTGTCCCATATTCGCAAGCAAAATGCATTTCAACGGCGCCGGACAGACAGAGTAGTATGTACAGACACCACTGGTGGCCATAGTTCTTCAATGCCTTTTTTCACAAGCATATTGAAAATGTTGAGCTTTTGATCGTCCTCATAACGCAATTATCGAGCTCTCTGGATTCATCTGGAGATGATAAGCACCACTGTGTCGAAGAGGTTTGAATAGAAAGCTGTTAAACAACTACTGTCTCAGGCTATTTTTCATAGTGGCTGGAGACGTTAAGGATGAGCATTATTTGTCAGTTGAGTGTCAGGTCTTCTACCATCATTTTTGTGCACAGCGGCTTACATTTTCGAAATCCAGCGAGAATTAGATTAACTAGTGCTCGATAAATGTTATTCCGGTTGTCATGAAGCGCCATCATGCGATTCACCAAAGTAAGAACGCAGTGATCGATTCATGTTTTGAGGCAAGGTATGACCGCGAGATACAATGTCGTTATGAAAGATAGTTGAATTCTCGATTCCTTTGAACTTAACCGTTGCTCAAAATCTTGTTTCATCAAGCTGAGCTGCTTTTTCGTGACTTGCAAGGAGAACGTCGTACATTAATATAGGTTTAATTCAAAAGCCTTTTGCAAAAGTCTATCGTCTAGGTATGTGATCATAAAGAAATTGGGAGCTGGCGGTTTTGGAGATGTATACGAAGTGCACAGAGAGCGAGATAATGGGGTGTTAGCAATGAAGACCGAATTTGATGTCGAAGATGACATGTTACAACGTCTAAAGGTGACATTTTCCCTCAACTTGAATGTGACTAGAGAGAACCACAAACTTGCATTCGATAGAGTAAACCATAGTAGTTTTATCAATAGAAATATGCAGGTTTTGTCAAAGAAATTCCATTTGCAGAGAGAAGTTTTGGTATATGAAGTGATCAATGTAGCAAAAAGAGAAGATCCAAGATCGACAGAGCATATTCTGCATATGATCGACAAGGTGAACAAATTTAGAAACCCATCAAACTTCGTCGATAAGGGCACAAAACCGTTCAAAACTTCAAGAAGCCTGAAAACGTGTGAATGATTTCGAAAGCGGAAGACCACTTTTTTGCGAGCTTCATAGCAATGTTTCGAACACACTTAACGTTGGCTCAAGTTTTACCAAAAGAATTTTACAAGAAATATAATAACACTATTGATATTATATAAAATAAATAATAATATCATTAGAATATTACCGCCTCTCCTGAATCTCATTCAGGATCGGCACTAATCGGAGGGGTTAAATTCAGACACTGGACACTGCCTTCAAGCCAACGAGATTACTTCTCTAATTATCAAAATGGTTGGAAGCTATTGTCTTGTGGGAGAAAAGCATTCAATGAAAGGAAGAAAAATGAGAAATTTTTGTCAGTGTTTTGCGTAAGCAGACAAACTGCTGACCCCTTTACAATGCAGCACAACATTTGTGCGTAAGGCCTCGGGCAGAGTTGACGCGATTTGATCGTCATTATATATATATATTTTATATCGTCATTATTTTCATTGTCATCTTCATTATCATCATCATTATTATTATTATTACCACATAACACTTGTTTCCTCAATGTCACTCAATACAGTAGCATGCACATCGATCATTCCCTAGGTAATCTCAGTCTATTTTGGTTAACGCTACAAAGACAGATCAGTTGCTCAAGTCGCGTCGCGGACGGACGAGTTTCGGATTGCTCGTCCCCGTCGGCCAGCCAGCGGAAGGAGCTGCAACTACATGTGCAATGTGCGTGTGCAGCTTCTGCTCATTACCATGTCAATACATGTCGGGAGGCAGTTCCTGGCTGGTGGAGCTTGATGGGATCTGAGTGTAGCTTGATAGTACTTTCGCTTTTTCAGGCACATCATTCCCATTCAGGGACAACATTACAGAACCGTAACTGTAGATGCGCCTCTCCTGAATCTCATTCAGGATCGGCACCAATAGGAGGGGTTAAATTCAGACACTGGACACTGCCTTCAAGCCAACGAGATTACTTCTCTAATTATCAAAAGAGGTAAAAACTATTGTCTTGTGGGAGAAAAGCATTCGATGGAAGGAAGGAAAATGAGAAATTTTTGTCAGGGCTTCGCGTAAGCAGACAAACTAGCTACCCCTTTACAATGCAGCACAGCGTTTGTGCGTAAGGCCTCGGGCAGAGTTGACGCAATTTGATCGTCGCGATTCAATCGTTACAAGACAACTGTAACAATGTCATTGCATGCCGATCTTCTTGCATCTCGGTTTTGATAGTTTTCCAATACGACTAATCGTGACTAACTATCACAACCGAAATATAGCAAGATCGGCATGCAATGACTTCGTAACACTTGTCATGTCGCGATGAATCGCGATGAAGAAATCGCGTGAACTCTGCCCGAGGCCTAAGGATCAAAGGGCATTCACATGGCATTAGGAATAAATTACAGTATTAGGCGAACAGAGTAAGTATATGTTGTGTACAACACTATTGAACACCGCGTGCAATGCCATGGACACTGCTCTATGAAACAGCCGGTTCCGTCAGAACTCGCAGTGGTAGAAAAGACCTCGGAGATGATCCGGACATCCAGACTTGAATCGCAGGGAGATTGCGCTAAGTGACGGTGTTGGCCTCGCAGAAACTCTGTTTTGATCTACGAGAATAGGTCACGCGTGTGAAAACCATTTTATAGTAAGCACATAGCCTTAATTTTACCACTAAGGATACTGAAGTAAATGCGTAATTTGGCCAGTGTCGTAGTAGCGCTGGTATGTTTTAGTTGTGGTTCTGTAAAGTAGTAGTATATTGAGGTGTTAGTTGCGATAGTTCAAATCTCCAGACATGCCGAAATGTCATTCCATTTAGAGAATATTATTCAGATTGCTTGAAGGTCACAAAGAAACAGCGAAAACCACCAAATTTGTTCACAATTGTTTTTCATTTTGTGATCTCTATCTGCGACATCTTTAGCTCCCCAACACAATTATTGAAAAAGGCTATTAGTGGTCAATGGATAATTTCCCATAAGTGATCAACGACTTTGATGACTTTCCTGACAGCTGTAACTCTCTTACCCCTTTCTTAGAGCACAAGAGGACGGGCTGGACTTCTCAGCCAATATAGCTGTAGGGTAAACGCATCCTTCATTCATGGAAACTGCGCAAAATTGCTAGACCTTATGTGCTTTAGGGCTGGAACCAGTATTTTAAATACATAATGATGCCTTACACTGGTAAATCGTTAGACTACATCAAAGAATGCATTGTTAAAGGAGAGTTTGCGTAAGTTATCTTCAACCGAATGAGAAAAGCCATGTCTACTACATGTTTGTTTCAGACCTTATACAGCTATTCAAATCTCTCGTCAAACCCACAGTGCTTTGAAAAACCTCCATGAGTTAGGCTATATCCATCGAGATGTTAAGCCAGACAATTTTGTTATTGGAAAGTGAGTACACCCAACAGCGATTTTACAGTGAGGACCGATTTTGCTTTGGTAGAAGTCTTTACAGAAATATTATATTTGTGATGGATTTCGGAATGAGTACGAAATATGAGAAAACTACAGCAAACTTACCCAAGTACGTGATACCCGTTCTTTGTTGAACAGTTGCAGCTTGCTCCACAGGGCGTGTTCCGATCATATCAATACGCAGAATGCAAAATCAATCTTCCATGTTCTTAAGAGGTGTTGTGCAAAAAGAAAACATGCTTCTATAGCTAGAAGCCGAAACCGTTAGAATGAAACGGCAAAGTTTCATTCTAAAGCGAAAGGACGCCACGTGAAACTCTCTGTCGTAGGAGGATTGCTGAATAGTAAAGGACACAGAGTTGCACTGGCCCTTTAGCAAGGAGACATGTATCATTTTGGTCTCTTTGGAATGCTGATAAGATTTCAGCTTTCCTTTCCTGCAAAACGGTTGTTTAAAAAAGTTACGGACTCGTGGTTCTACGGGTGTGACGTCTCGGTGGGATTAGCACCTTCCGCTAAGTGTCGCCGCAGCTACACCGCAGATCCCTTCCGTACCCTGCATAATGCTGCGATCCGTCTGAGGTTTATAACGCCTTAGCGGCTCTGCCATGGATGCTACTACCCGTGCACAACGACATAGCGCGATTAGACGGTGATGAGGAGAAGAAACAGACTAGATTTACACTTTATCTTAATGACCCAAAAGAAATGGACTGAACCATCATACTTAAACTACTATTAATAACAATACACGGCCGGTTGCTTTGCCCCACTTTACCCATGGCACCGAGATCCTTATCTCCAATCAAGAACTTCCGAGGCTTCGCCCAACAAATTCGGCACTTGCCCAGACCCATAAGAAATGGTGCAACCCTCTCTGCTTCCGCTATTTTAGTTCATCAACAAGTCCAAGAAGGGTTAGTTTCACCAGTGCGTCAAGCGCTTCAACGCTCCCAAATTCCTGCGCAAGCGCTTTGACCTCGGTTCAAAACAAAAATAATCCGATGCGGGAGCTCAAGACACAATGATGCGACATAAGATCGCACATAGAAATAAATAATAAAGATCAGGCGTGGTTGCCTTATATAGCCGTTTTGTTGACTATGTGCTAGCGAGGAGAGGTCCAGCGGCGACAACAACACGAAGCTTAAAGGCAGTGTATCGGCAAAATCCAACAACTCAGGATTTTAGCGCCGTATGTTCCTTATCGCCCAAGATGAAAACAGTGCAATCCCGGTTGCACAGCATGCTTTCCCTGCTGAGAAAATCGCTCTCAAACTTACACCGCAGGCCAATCTTACACGCATCTGGACGAGTTGGCAATTTCCTTCTCACCGTTGGATGCTGCCCGTCGCAACGCTATAACCATTGGGTCCTGCAACGATATAGCGTCATTGGCCCTGCTCCACTCGTCCAATTCCAAAAGGAAGGGCGTCAAAAAACGCTTATTTTCGCCGTTTTTAAACTTTAAAAGTGGATTTTCGGGATCAGCGTATTGAATAACCTCATTCAAGCGAAAATTTAACTAGGCTGAGATTTGCCGAGCCACTGCCTTTAAGCTATGTAATCGCGACCGGACAACGCGAATCAACCGGTGCTCTCGGCCTTCATACTTTGAGGAGCGCCTGCATCGCGAGCCGCGACAACAAGTTTTGCCCTCTTCAAGGCCCGAACATACCTCGCCCGATTACTCCAATCGCGGGTACGATCGGTTGATACGCGATCCGGCAATTTGCCAGATGTCCGCGAATCTACCGCATGTGGCCTTCAAGTGCATAGGTGCACAGCTTTTGTAAGCTTATGCGACCGCAATCTTGCTTACGGACTATGCGCCCACGGGAGATTGTGAACAATCTTCGCAATCGATAATCGCGCGGCAACGAGGTATGACCGATCCTTAAAGGAGAATACTAGTTGTTATGCATTATCGCTGCGTCACAAATGTGTTTCAAAACGTAGGCGTAACCAGAACTTGATGTTCGCTATTTAAGATAAATACGAAATACGATGTCTATACAAAATAAAATACGATTTCGATACAAACACCCAACGGGACTAAAATCCAGTACCTCAGCTGAAAACCATTTGCTTTTCCAACTGCACTATTAGCGTTTCCATCAATGTTGCACCGTTACTCGTATCACTTTCGACGGTAGACAGGACAGGCCTGTAGATTTAAGGGTCTGTACTCTTTCACGAAACCCTTTCGCAGATTCAAAACGATATGTTATTCGTGTCCCGAACAGACCTCAAAGATGTGTAACTCCTTGCTAAATACGCCCATGCGAACCTGTATTTTTTCCCTTGTGAGCACATTGCATGAGTTCTGAACCTCTTCGAGGGGGCAGATGCGTAGCGATGCATCTGAGTTGCAAGTGTCTGGAGCAAACAGGGTGCGGCTTTTACACCTAAAAGTAAGACAGTATGGAGGAAATACTATAATTCTTTGCCTCTTATAGCCAAGGATTTTGTTCTGGACTCCCTACATTTGCAGTTACAAGTAGGCGCATTTAACATCGACTTGGTAGAACCCTCGCTCGTGGCATCTTTCACGCGATGTATAAGTCAAGCCCTTATTCATGCAAAGATGTGCAATGTCCATTATCAAGAGCAGACACCCTCATTGGAAAGAAGCCCTTTGAAGAGAGAATGCGCGAAGTTTTGGATGTGATTAAAGTTTAGGTACCGCGCTAGAGTACCATGGTGGCTCTACTCGTCCACGTGGTCCAAGGAGGCGGAGTTCCAAAAGCTCGTTTTCGCCAGTTTTGTACGTGAAGAAAAGCAAGCGAAAAACAGGAACATGAAGATGCGCGCATACACTGCATGGTGGAATCCACTCAAAGAATGACTATCGTTAACTGTTGCATCACGAGAAAACGATCGCAGAGGGCAATCGAAACTCTCTCGAAAGAACTGTTCTGTGAATAAAGGTACTAAATCAGCATGCTAGAGTCACAATGACTACCAATGTAAAATCCTCATTATGAACGACCTCTTCATCAAGTATCCATCCCTCATCACAGACTAGGTAGCTTTCAAGTTCCGCCCTGGCCATAGCTCAGCGGGATGAGATAGAGTATGATGTATTTGAAGCACAACTTCCTTCAAACTTCCCGCTGTGTCTTCTACCATACAAAACAGAAAAGTCTTAGCTTGTGTTACGATGTCCTACAACGTCCTACAATTTATTTGCTCAGAAATCAGGATATAAGAAAAAAACATGAACACATTCATAAAACAGATAAACAAAGAAGAGGCAGATATATAGAGCAGCAAGATGTGACCGTGCCTTCTCAGCTCCCCTACCCTCTCCAGCGGGATTTACGTGCGTACGGGCCTAAGGGCCGCATGCATCAACATTCCACCGGGGAAGAGATCGCAGCTTCAAAAAAAAACTTCATATCCTCAAGCTCCAAACACATAAATTTCACCCTGTCTAATGCGCGATCGTTCCTACTATTCTTCACTACAAACATTGAACAGAAGCGTGAAGTTGTACAAGCTTTCTTTAGCTTTTTGTACAATTCCCTGATGATCACGGTGGCCGACCGTCATTTTGACCTTCAAAGCCAATTTCTTTCTTCACTATTGATGAAAGGTGCCACAGTTTTACTGATTATCCAACCGAACCATGCTGAGCATAGATAAGAGCATATGATGTATGGAAGTATGAAATCGCGAAAGACACAAGTTGAAAGTTGGGGTTTGGAAAATTTCGGTATCTCGAATACTCATGTGTTCTCATCAGCAACGTGCTTAAGAGGAAATGGTCAGATTTTAGCCCAGCCATTCCAAATAAGCTGTCTTCACACTCGTCTTGAAAAACTGATTTCAAACGTATGTTATTATCTGCCAAGCGACCATATGAGATAGTCATGAGCGTTCACTACGAGAAATTTTTCGAGTTCCGACGAATATATATCCTCAATAGACAGTGATGGCACAGATTTACAGTGGCGTGTTGTAATTACAAGGTGCATACATTTACATACATTTACGTATATTTTACATACATTAAAAACCTAGATAAGTGTTTTTAAAACCCATTTCTTGGAACATGCGCGACAGGACACTAGAACAAATCGCACATTCAAAATCTCATAACTGCCTCCCAGAAAGTAGCTTGGCAGATAATAAACCTACGTTTGTGATCAGCGTTTCAAGACGAGTCCGACGATATACAGCATGTTTGGTATGGCGGGGTTAAGTTTTGACTATTTCCTGCTTAGTGTTAGGTTAGACAGTCATGCAACTTTAATATCGTTAACTTCAAAATTAAAGCTAACTATGAAAAAAACGGTAGACCGTGGAGATTATAAAGGATCATATAAAAAGCTGGAAAATGCGTTTTTTTACAACTTTTTGCTTCTGTTTAATATATCTATAATGAAGGATAGCAGGAATGATTACGGATATGTAGGCAGGGTGAAAATATCCGGAGCTTCAGGATATGGAGCTTTCCTTTAAACTGTGATCCCTTCCCCAGCACGCGTTGACGCATACGGCCCAAGTGAATTGAAAACTTGGTTATTAAAATGGTTCAGCGAATTGCTGCAAAAATGAGAGCCTAAGAAATTTGTCGAAGTCGAGAAAGTTTCACCACAAAGGAAACGTTCAAGTTAACTGAAGGTGAAGTCTTGATGCAGTTCGATGGCGTGGCTTCTGACTAGCGCAGCAGCTCAAGTCCGATCGAAATAGGTAGATCTGGAGCGAGGAAATCGTTTTAGAGAAATTCAAAGTTTGTCAAGGAGCGTAGTAGGAGTGCCGCACCTTTTCTGAATCGATTTTCTCGTGTCAGAGTCCACCTTTTCTACTCGGGCTTGAACTGTTGCATTAGTCAAGAGCGACGCTATCGTACTGCATCGTTTTTTCCAGTCGACCTGGAGTGCCTTCAAACGGCCTACGCACTTCGTTTTCCAAATTACATTCCATGATTACACTTTGGATTTAACCAATACAGATAGAGGTAATCTCCAATTACTTTTCAAGATTGTTGCAGTTGTAAATTTCCAGTGTTCAAACTCCGAGGCATGTTATTCATTCTTTATTGACTCACATGACAAAGTTAATAAAGAGGCTAAGTCACTCAGTTGCTGACTTAATGAAAACAAGTGTTCATGAATCTGTGAGAAATGACGATAAATAAGGCGAAAAATTAGCTTTGTTGTATGATTGAAAAAATTAGCTTTGTTGTATGATTTAATGTATCAAAATAAAAACTTCACCAAGCTACAGATAACTACATGTTTCAGGGAGTCACGTTATAAATTCATTGGAACTCCCAAATATGCAGCTCGAGCAACTCATCAAGGAAGAGTTGTGAATCGAAAAGAAGACATGGAGTCGTGGTTCTATATGGTACAGTCTTAGTTACTTCGAAAAAAAGCATAGCGCGCTTCTGATCGAGATAGCTAGGAAAGTTCCTAGCATAGCAAGGCCAAAGCCCTGAGGTTAAAAAGTATGATACAGACCTTGGCGACTCCGTTTTAGCTATATTTTTATCAGAAGAAAAAAAACAAAAAAATATTATGATGCGTGTAAAGACAAACAAAGACAAGTAGAGTGACAAGTTATTTCGACTGGAACTTGTACGAAGCGCAATACAATTACGGAAAATTCAAATGACATGCAACGATCAAGTATCATCGCATTAGCAAGCGAAAAATTCAGACTGAGCAGCTATTGTGTCATAGCTTACTGACGAGGATTTGCCTATATATCAGGTTATTACATAAGTCTTGTTACACTCTGGCTACACAGCTCCTAAATTCTACTAATAATTCTGTTGAGCCGCAGCCATTATTAGAAGTAGATGCAGACATCACGCATAGTCTTATTTCTTCATTTAGCAGTCTAAAGTTTGCTGTAGGAGCTCGACTGTTCATTTCTACAACCACCAATTCAAGCCGTCCTTTTTTTATAAATTAAATTTATCATACACTTTTCCGGAAAAGTATTATAGGTAGAATCTTGTTGTCAGCCATTAATCGCATACGGATGGCTAGGATTGGCAAAAAATATGATTCTGCTGAGTTGACTGACTCTCTCGCAAAGAGGCCGTATCCACCCGGACAAGTACATTTCGAACAGTCTGGATTTTAGCAGTCGCCTTTTTCGCATTTTGACAAAGAAGGTAGACTTGCACGTGTGTAATCTACTCATCTGAATCTCCTCTAGTAATAATAAGCTCAGATAGCTGTTACAAAAATGCAATTTGAGATTGAACTATGCTTACACTCTTATGCGTCCGCAGCAGTGAGATTCCTTGGATTTCGTAATCTCATCAAGTTATTGGTAGTGTCTGTCCATGAGAAATACGTCATAAAATGACCCAACGAAGGGGTCCAGAAAAGAATAGAAATGATCTCTTTTTGTATTGTTGAGGGCTCTGACTTGTCCAGCGCGAAAATGAAGATTATGTGCATAGTTCGTAATAGAAGTGGATGAAACGAAGAGAAAGATGCTTTAGGCCTTGAGTAATCACGCTGCCGTAGTCGCAAGGTACATCATATTTACTACGGATCGCTCTAGTTTCTTTGTTTCTTTCGGTCTTCAGCTTTTCTTTATGGATCCTTTGGCAGCTTTACGGGTTAGTTTTCGGAAAAGGCTCAGCTCAAGGATTACCCTCCTAGCGTAGTTGTCAGGATCGTATCTCAACTGGACGTGATACGAGACCGAGCATACGATTTCGTGGGCGGCTGTAACTTCCTTCGCACTGAATATTCAGAAGAGCATTGTGTACACTTTTGAAGTGGTGCATAAAGGCATCCGTCGCCCGAAGACAGTCGCATATCGTGATTGCTCACGCAGAAATAGCAATCATTTCCTTCGGGAAGCTCCGCTCGTTCTTTCGCTGATTGCTTCCGTTTTTCTATTAGGTTGTGTAATAAGTTCGTTCGCATTTTTTGTTTTGATTTTTTCTCAATATTTTGTAAAGCATTTGGCATAGTGTTAGTATGCGTTCGGAAGCTCTAAGTTTGCTCTACCAAAACACTATCAGTATATTTTCAGTTTATAAAACTTGAATGAGAAATTCTACTACAAACCGAAAAATCTGAAGTGGCAAAAATCCCATTCTCGACATCTTTTTTCTTCCTTAGTTTTCTCGTTATTCTTTGTTGAAATTTATTCAAAAAGCTTGATAAGGAAGAAAAACAAATGACTAACAATTTACGCATTCACTGATACTATTTACGATTGCCCACTTCCATTCACCGACCGTTTAATGCAATTTTTTGCAAAACTCGGCGTAGCAAGGCTTTGCCGCAGCGGTGTTCGTTGTCTCGCGTCCGTGGGCTATGTGTCCCTCGAATTCTGAATTTTTGACTATATGAGCCATTTATTCGATGATTTAGCGATCATAGACCTCATGTCTGCCAAATCCTGGATTGTTCGGCTACCACCTTTCTTCAGAGGTGCCTTCATATGCTTAACGTTGACACAAGAAAGACATAAAAACATACCTATTTTTGAGCTTACCATATGAATTGTTTTTGAAAGGTTTTTGCACTACAGGTAATCTGCGGGAGCTATAGCATTCTATTTATACATGTCGCAAAATTTTTGAGCTGTTTCTCAAGCGCTCAAACTCATTCAAGATGCGGCATAACATAGTTGTCGAAAATGGGATTTTTGCCATTTCAGATTTTTCGGTTTGTAGTCGATTTTTTTAACCAACTTTTTACAAAGTATGAATATAATGAGAGCATTTTGGTAGAGTAGACTTAGAGCTTCCGAATGCATACTAACACTATGCCAAATGTCTTGTAAAATACCGAGAAAAAATTGAAACAAAAAATGCGAACGAACTTATTACACAACCTAATAGATAGCTGCGTTACTTCGTACCTCTAGCGTTTTCAAACATGTCAATGCATGTATTATCGTGCCATAATGTTGCCCTTTTCGAAAGTTGCCGCTAACTTGTATCATAATAGAATAAAGATAGAAGCGGTTCGTCCATGCCAAAAATTTCTTTGTGGTAAGTTGTCGTTTTACTCGATCCACTTCTTCCATTTATTGCTTTACACTGTTCTTCCTTACAACGGGGGAGTAGGCAAGATGCATTGCGGCACGTTTTAGCTCATCATTTTACAAGACGAGAATAGAATAGAATAGAACAGACAGGTCAATTTCGTCACAAGAATTGTGCTCCCTTACATGCTTGTATGATCCCAGCACTATTTGGACAGACCAGCAGAAGAATGCCTTAGTGCAAACGTATCCTATTGCTTGCTTCATGGTTTTCATTTCAGTGTTCTACATAAGGGTAAGATTTAGATGATTTCATTGAGAACTAGAATTATGCTCAGGATGGCTCTTCAAAAATCGTCATATGATTCCAACTTGTGCTTTTGTCTCCACGTGAAGGGAGTTGTTTTTGTATTTTTGCCTTCATTCGAAAATATATACAAAGATGTATACAGGGATATACAAAGCGCCTCCGTTTGTTTGATTTGCATGCCACTGTACATACTTGCAAATACCCAGCTAGTACAATCATTTCTGTTTGATCATGCGATACACCGACAAAGTGCACCAAATACAAAAAATGATATACCGAGAAAGTTTGAACTCCTGGACGGCAAGTTGTACATAGCAAAAAATATTGCTAGAAATAGCGGAAGGACGTAGTTACAAATAGACAAAGAGGACTAGACCTATTATCCAGCCAGCAACGTATCCAGTAATGGAATAAATAGCGAACAGGTGGAAACTTTGAAGCACAAGTGTATCGTCCTTATTTCAGGTGAAGAATCAAAAGCATGAGCGCTTGGTAATCAAGGCCGCGGCTGATGACCTTGCGAGCTTGTGTTTCGCCGCTGAGCGCGGTAGCGTACACGAGCTTGATTTTGCGCGTTGTTGTGCAGTTAAAGGTTTGCAAATAGTTTTACCTGTCATTTTTGAGGTGTAGCATTAAGAATACACATGCTACTTGTGTGCGCATAGCCTTCAAGTGTGAATTTCCTTATTCGCCGTAATCTATTTAAAACATTTTCTGAAGTCCCTAGAGAAAGTCGTTTTGATTGCTATTGGTCTTGTAGGTGATAGACTTCTTGCATCGGAAAGAAATTATTTCTTCGTAGTGTTGTAGGATTGTGCCTATGGATCCGCTTCCAAAATTATCTTGTGCATCTACATACGAGCACAATGCTTGCACAGTTGGCTTTCGACTTGAACCAGTCATGAATGTGCGCAATACCACCGCTGAGACAATCGCCGGGGGCAGGCGGGCACCGGAAAATAGATGGGTTTCTCGCACCCCGCTCGCGGATTTTTTGAAAAGCAATCGGGACTTTTCAGAAGACCGCTTGCTGAGTCAGCAGGTTTTTGAGAGACCGCCTGCAGAATTTTTTTCCGCTCTTTTCTTTTGCAGATATATTGCTGAATCTCTGAGGAATCGAGTTTTACGAAAAGTCCTAATTGCTTTCCAAGAAATCCGCGAGCGGGGTGCGAGAAATCAGCCATCTATTTTTCCGGTGCCCGCACGCCCCCGGCGATTGTCTGAGCGGGTGCTTCCATTATCCAAGAGCAGTACTCTTGTAGCTGATCATTGAGTACATCGTACGTACAAATCGTTTTAATCATCATGATCATGATACACCGCTTTGGGTGTACCCCTAATTTTACCGCCTTTGAGCCCTTTTAATGTTACTGTCTTGGGAAAAAAACTGGTGGTACCAGCAAAGGTACTTCACCCCGAATTCACTTTAGGATATCAGTCTTGCCAATTGTTTGATATTTCATATAACAATCAATAGTTGGTATACTCGTTCTTACAACTGCTGCTCTTCGGGTCATGGATCCGCAAAGATTTTGGGAAGCATCAAAACAAAATTTTAAGGGGTGCGTGGCTAAAGCTTCGGGCAGAGTTCACGCGATTTGATCGCCGCATTTCAATCGCTACGAGACAATTGACGAGTTCACTGCATGCTGATCTTCTTCTACTTCGGTTGATAGTTAGTCAAGATTTGTCGTGTTTGAAAACTAACATAACCAAAATGCAAGAAGATCGGCATGCAATGACATTGTTACACTCGTCTTGTAGCGATTGAATCGCGACGATCAAATTGCGCGAAGTCTGCCTGAGGCCTAACGCTACGCACCTTTATTTGGATCAAATTTTTTTGGCTCTCCTCCCTCCCCCACCCCCTTCTCCCACCCAAAACGGAAATCCTGTGACCGCCACTGGTGACTTCATATACAATGTGTGCGAACATTCGCAGATTCAATCTTACAGAACAACAGAAAATATAGTTGCAGTTGCTTGAATGCACGGCGGGAAAGCCCATGTTTGGACGCTGCTGCCCTCGGCGCGAAAAGAAGCTTGCTGCTATTAACCCGTATTTACAAACACCTCAGGCTAAGGTTGTTTTAAGATAGTGAAGATGCACTGGCTTAAAGGCAGTGGCGCGGCAAATTTTAACCTAATCAAATTCTCGCTAACCTGGAGTAATTAAATGCGCTAATCTCAAAAATCCACTTTAGAGAGCTTGAAAATGGCGAAAACGAGCGTCCTCCGATGCCCTTCGCTTTAAAATTGGACGAGTGCGGCAGGGCTGAAGACGCTAAATCGTTGCAAGACCCAGCGGTTATAGCATTGCGGCGGGCAGCCTCCAATGGTGAAAGGGGAACTGTCAACTCGTCCGAGCGGTGTAAGATTGGTTTGCGCGTGTAAGTTTGAGTGCAATTTTCTCAGCAGAGAAGGCATGCTGTGCGACGGAAATTGCACTGTTTAAAATAGGTAATAAGCGACCTACCGCGTCAAAGTCCTGTGCTGTTAATTTTTGCCACTGCCTTTAAGGTACAAATTCAAAGCAAAGTTGCTTGGTGAAGTTACATTGAACCTCAACAGATTTTACCCTGAGATATTTTCTTGATACGGTCTCATGTTCACTAGGTATGTCACATAGCTTCACTCTCAAGGTTTATTTACCCCAGGGTTCGTTGATGAATAGGTCACAGAGGAGCGCAGCAGATAGCGAAAACAAGTTTGAAATCAGCTGCTGCACCTCTTCAAAACGATATAGCTTTCAACTGACAGGCCGCTTGAGCTAAAACACTTTCCTTGTCAATTGCGTGTTCTCAAGTGGAGCGGGAATAGCAAAATAGCGAAATAAGTTCCAGGCATCAGTTACTAGCTGAATCAAAAATTTGACAGAACCATGTACTCCCTCCCCCACAATGGTCAGCCGCCTCAACGTGAGGTGGGGGTGACAATGGGTGTCGAACTGCAATGCACAGCCGAGTGTACATTCTGGTAGAGCCTCCCAAGCTGTGAAGAAGCTCGACGTTTCCGGTCTCGGCCAGATGCCCAGCTAAGAGCCGGCCAGGTCAGATCCCCCGCCGTTAGGTTTCCCGGTTGCTAGGCAGTTCTTCCCGCTCCATACCCGGGTCGACGATCGCCCCGTGGAAGTCAAGGGCCTAGTAAGTCTGTTCTCGTAAGGGAATATTTTATATTACTTGATCAGCAAAAAGAAAGAAATAAACTGCGCATCGGATCCCGCCTACAGCGCCAGGTGGAAGCAAGAATGATATCAAGGTACCTAGGGCATCTTTCAAATCGGAGAAAAACTATACGTTTTACCGGATGACACGCCATCGACACTGCCTCATGCTCTGCGCCTACAACGCCAGGACAGTCTCTACCAACGTCGACCTCCACGCTCTTCTCGACGCTGCAAAGCACATCAAGTACCACATCATCGCTCTGCAGGAAACGAAGTCCAGGAAGAAGGACATGCAACAGATGAGTGATGGGACCCTCATTATTCGTGGTGAGAAGGTTCTATAGAAACATTGGAGGCATTGACTTTGTCATCCACCCATCATCATCCATCTTGCCAATTCGCATGAGATCCTATCACCTCGACTAGCCATCCTGCGACTGCGGCCTCCACGTCAGAAGACCATCAGCATCATCAACTGCTATTCTATTTTAAAGCGTTAGCCAGTTGAAAGCTTTAGGACCACCCACAGAGCGCTAAAACGCAATCTTCTGGAAATGACCCGACACAAAAAACGTTTTTTGGACTGAAGTACGCATACGAGAAGAATGTCCCGTCTTCGTGACCCAGCGGAACACGTTGCGAAAGAAAAGCATCAATGTCGGTCACATCATGAGAAGGGCAGAGAGAGGTAGACGAAAGATGGACACCTAAACAAGGCAAAACGTCTCAAGACAACCCCAACGAGATAGACAAACGTGTTCGTGGAACGAACGTGGAATGGAACGGACGAGAAATCGGCTGGAAATCGTCCCCGTCCCTTGCTTCGGACATCCACGGTCTTCCTGGTTGGTCCGTGGCTGCATCCACGAGTTCCAGTGTGATAATTGTGTCCATCTGATTTCTTAGCTGGTCCATCCGCTCCACGAATACGTCTGCCCATCTCGTTGGCGTTCTTCCTCAAGGAAGTTCGGCTTCGCGAGAAATCCACTCAGATGTTCCTAATGTTCATCTGTCGTCTGTTCTTCTCATGATGTGACCGGCCCATCGGTGTTTGGCTTTCCCAACGTGTTCCGCTGGATTACGAAGACGGAACATTCTTCTCATTTCCGTACTGCGAAGTCCGAATAGATTTTGCTTGTGCTGGGTCATCTTCAGAAAACTGCACTCGAGAGCTTTGTGGGTAGTCCGTAGAGCTGCCGACCTGGCTACAGTGTCAGTCCTAGTTTCAGCTGAATAACAGAGCGCCAGGAAAACGGTTGAGTTAAACAGGTATGCTCAAAATTCGAGTTTGGTCGGTGGCTTCCTTCAGAGACCCAAAAGCGAGCCAGGCTGCTCTTCTTCTCCTCAAATTTTTCTCTCAAGCCGTTCTCCATGTTCATTGAAGTCCAGGATATACGTAAGAAGACGTCTCTATGGTAGGAGTACATTCCCATTCCATTTTCGCACCGCAAAAAACGTTCTTCTAAACTAAGTCTTCTTCCGATTTAGTCGCAATCCGAACTTCTTCCCTACTTTGTTAGGTTCCTTCAGCATCGTCTATGCTTCAGTGGTATTGATCGTAAAGAGAAAGATGTCGTCCGCAAGACGAAGATTTGACAGGACTTTCCCATCAACTCGCATGCCTCTCTCGTCCCATCTAGTGAGTTTATCACCCGCGGCAAGCCCGCGGTGAATGGCTTCGGCGAAACAGTTTCGCCTTATCGAATCCCCTTTTCATTTGGGATGGTCAGAGGGCGATGGAATAGCTGCATCGCCGTTGTACACTCCTTGTAGCAGTCGCGTAACGTCCTCACGTAAGCTGGGTCCACTCTTGATCGACTGGCGCTGACAGGATGACGTTGGTTTTAACATTGTCAAAGGCTTTCTCGTAATCCACGAAGGTTAGGACGAGATGCAGTCAGTATTCCGGCAGACTTCTATGACCCTCGAAACCGTCTGAATTCTTTGCCAAGTCCAGCTTGTACTAGGGATGGGCTCTTCATCCAGCGTCCTAGATATGCAAGCGAGGATAATCTTCTTGAACAGCTTGTAGCACACTCAGCAGGCATACTGGATGGTAATTCCGAAGATCCTCCCGTTCGCCCTTCTTGAAGAGAAGGACGGTTCTTGACGTTCTCCACTGCTTGGACACCTTTTCCATCAGATGGTAAGATGTTAGATTCGATGTGGGGATCTCGTGTAGACGTCCTCCGGCTCGCTGAAGTTCGATAGGAAAATGATCTGGTCCTTGAACCGTTGGTCTGAATCGCGTGAGCATTTCAGCAGGTAGTCCGTGGTGGTATTTGTTTAGTGGGAACAACAATCATCATCAGCAGGGGAGTTTGATGAGCGGAAGAGAGTGGTGTAGAAGTTCTTCGAGATAGATTCTGATTTGAGGAAAAAGTCTAAGGAAGAAGGTCTCGTCTTCGTTCATAGTGCAATCAGCGATACGTGATATAACAGAGGTGCCTTCGGCACTTCCTGGGACTTCGTCTTTCTTCGGCTGCCTTCAGTATCTAGGCTTACCTGTACTTCCTAAGATCTTCCTGCAAAGCAGTTCTGCAACTGGGTTGGCTATCAGTCGCTTGAAATGGGTTGCGTTCGGATTCTGCCTCAGAAAACTTCTTTTTTCAAGTTATTCCTTGGTGTTCTTCGAAATGCGTTCCAAATTCTTTGAAAGTCACTGGAATGCATTCTCCGCGGGCTCGCAATCCTTTCAAAAGCCGGTGGTCGTTGTACACGTTGGTCCAGTCAGCCTGATAAGAGCTCTTCCAGCCTGTTACGGTCATAAACGACTCTCTTCCTTCTTACGGCAATGTGGCAGACTTTCTTTTCCAGCTTTCGACTGAATCGTGCTCAAAGGAGGGGTGATCGGAGCCATTGCAGAAAGGTGGAACTACTGCGACATTGAGGAAGCTCCACCGATTGGTGAGGACTTGGTCGATCTCCGCGTGAGTCGATCCGTTAGGCGATTCCCATGTTCTCCGTCAGTGTTCTTCCTTCATGAAGATGAAATCTCCATGGAAAAGTCGTGCGGCTTAGAGAAGCCCAAAAAGATGGTCGCAGCTTTTTTTCCGGAGTCCTCCATATTTAAGCTTCCCGTTCCTATACTCCTCCTCTGGCAACGTCCCGATCGGCAATGAAACCGCGTCAGAGCCAACGCCTAAAACGTTTCCTGATGGAACCTCACCAACAGTGATGAGAGCCCCATTCGCATGTCCTTCTTCCTGGACTTCGTTTCCTGCGGAGCGCTGACGTGGTACTTTGTGCTCTGCAGCGGCGAAAAAAGAGTAAATTGGGGTGGAGACTGTCCTGGTGGTAGGTGCAGAGCATGAAGCATCTCATGGCGTGTCGTCCGGGCAGTCGCATCGTTTTTGTCCGACTCAAAGCAAATGTGATCCCGAAAAACCTGACATTCTTCTTGCCACTGCCCGGCGCCGTTGACGGGATCCGATGTACAGGGTTTTTTCCTTTCTTCTTACTGATCGAGTAAGAAATTAATTCCCCTACAGAGCAAACATGCTGGACCCACTCTTGATTTCCACGGGGCAATCGCTAACCCCGGGTGTAAAGAATGATGAGAACCGCTTAGCGACCGGAAAGCCAGACGGCGAGGGATCTGGCCTGGTCCGTTTTCAGCTAGGCATCCAGTCGAAACCAGACATGTCAAACCCCTTCACAGCTTGGGAGACCCTACCAGAGTACACACTCGGCTGTATACTCTGGTAGGATCGGCTCGACACCCAGGGCCACCCTCACGCCAAGTTGAGGAGGTGGGCCATAGTGGGCGCTTTGCTAGTAAACAGAATAATAAAAAGCACGAGAACAGTTGTGAGATGACAAGCTAGGTCTCAAGTCAGTCACAAGTCATTCAGGTAATTGAACTTTTTGGCACGGATTACTTACCTTGGTCTCTTGAAGAAGATCTTGACAAAATGCATTTCATGAAAAATTGTTTCTTCGAACACAAATGTAAATCGTGACCTTTTTTTAGAACATTTTCCCTCTTGGCTTTTCTAACTGACATTCAGATGATGATGTAGTGTTTCATAGCACGGCTGTTCCAAAAGACCTGACAAAAATTATGCACCTTATCGACAAAGTTGATGGAACAAGTAGACCAGAATATGAGGTATAAATAGGGGACCTCTAAGAAATTTCGAAAAGCTTGCTGTTCTGAAGAAACACGAAGAGGTGCTTGCAAAACTAATAAAGGATTACAAAATGGACTACTACGCTCCTTTTGAATGGGCTGATGCCATGGCCAAATACTACTTTATTAGAGAGCAGAAAGAAGAAGAGAAAAAGGCACAGATGAAGAGGACAAAGAAGTGAGGCAATTTCCATTATCGCAAATAAAAAGCAGATTCTACCGACATTTGATTACATTTACAGTGTTAAAAGCCATGGGACAACCGGCAAATTCAAATCGTAAGTACCGGGTTAAATCGTAGTAACTCGTACAGTCGGTAAACGAGCTCATTGCTTTAGAGCAGCGGCCGTCAAAAATTAGAAGAATGACGAGGAAAAGTACAATTCGTTTTCAGCAACAAATCACACAGCAAAACTAGTACGATCTAGCTTGTAAATATTGAACACATTGCGGTGGATTAAAGTCTTAATATTTATCTCACGTCTACTCATGGAAGTGAAGAAAGCTATTTTCTCAATTAAGATGAGTATCGATGATGTCAAATTTGCATGGTTGCTAAGTTCAAATTCGCTATTCAGTTTACATATATATATATATCATTCCAAAGTAAGCGAAGCCTGAGCAATCTTCTTATGCTTCTATTCTTTTCGTAAAACTGTTTATGATTTTTAAAAAACAGTCAAGGGGTTTTTGCAAAATACAAGCTTTCGTCTTTCGGGTAAATGCAGTAGGAAATAAACCGTTCAGATATCTTTCCACGTTCGGCTGTCTTTTGATCTTGTCTCTTTGCTAAATACTATAATATACGTTCAGATATCATTCATTCTATGGCTAGGAGACGTGAGACCGCATTGCACGCATTGCCTAAACAGGCCTAATCGTGCAATTAAAGGTTTGTACTTGTTACTTATCTCGTCCAGATTCATCTACTCTTTGTAAACAGGGAAGAATGTTAAGACAATGTCCGCAATGCGGTCTCGCGTCTCTCAGTCATGGAATAGATGATGTGTAGTTAGATGTGACGATGCTAAAATTGCGCTTTCAAGGGAGGAGGAAGGAAAGATTCGAGATTCATCCTGAGGCTAAAGCGTCCCTTCTTACACCTCAAAAACCTTTTGGTCAAAGAGTTTCTAAGTTTTTGAGATTCTGAAATTCGGAGACTGCCGTGAAGAACCAAAAAAATTTTTTTTTGCAAAGCTAATCAATTCTCACAAATTTACTAATTACGAAAATTGTAACCAATACAGTTGCTTGCTTAGATTTACTCTCATTAAAACTACACTAAATTTCAATAAAACATCAAAGTTAGCAGTTAGCGTACTTCGAATAATTTTGAACGGCTTAAATAAGTTACTCAAAGTGATCTATGGTAGAAGGACAAGCTTTGTACGCCTAAAATTTGGATAACCTTTGATTCTCAACTTATGAGAATCAGCACACTGTAAAAACGATTTTCTGGCAGTGAAATTTGAATTGCTGGACTTGCGAATATTCACAATTCAAATTTGTTGTAGTGATAATCATACGCCACAAAGTAGTCTGATTAGTTACTCGTATTCGCCGTTGAGAAGAATGCTCACTTGAACTAAAATAAAGCATTCCAAAACAGAATGAGTTATTTTTGTCCGACTACTCGTTCAGATGTGAGCTAAAACAACTTTTTTTGCTACCCACATCGTGAAGAGTTCGATGTGGCCAGAGATCGATATTGACGATTTTGTTGTTTGGTCAGCGCTCATTCTCACCATCGTCATCATTTGGTACAAAGTTCACCAGCGCGACCCCTTGACCAGCCCATCACGTTTTCTGCGTATTTTTTGAAGGTTTTTATTCACCTATTCATTGTCAGTAAGGATAACATCACATAGCAGCCTGATTGTGGATGTTGCTCGGCTTTGAAAAATTGTATTTTGCTCTCCATTGATGTAGTGGTCCATTTTCACACTTTCTTCTTCTCAACTATAAATACCATTTTAGTTTGACGAATCTTATACCCGCCGCTGATTCTCAAACATCTCTTGAATGCAAATTGGTAAATTTTTTGCGTCTGATCTTGAGTTCACAACTTCTAGAGCTGATGAAAAAACTTATCAACTTTTTGTAAAGGGAGATGAACTGACGAATCTATTGTGTTTTCGAAAAGTGTTGTTCAATAACCATTAATACAATACGTCTTCGAACTACAACATGATTTAGAAAGAGACAATTGACCTCAAAATGTCTCAGACAATCGCAAAAGAACTCCCGGGGGTAAACTGAGCTTCCAAGATTTCCGGGAGAACATGCCTATTGGAGCTGCCAGCTAGGGCGGGGCCCACGCCACACGGACCAATGGGAGCGTCCGCCCCGGAAGTCTTAAAAGCTCAATTTGCCCCGGAATTTCTTTGCAATTGTCTGATGCTCAAAAAATCTATATTACCATGGAATGAGCGACACATGAACAGTCAAATCATGTATTCAAATTTGGATCACTGAAAATGGTGAAACTCAACAATATTTGATTCTGCTCAACATTTGCATACAACTTACTCTTTTTCACTGACAAGGGAAGGTTATTTGATCGAAGTGGCGTTTTCGTATGTATTGGGTACCGTTTCATAGACCGAGGCAACTCATTCCAAATCTGTTTTCGTATCCGCAAAGGACTTCTAAAAAGGGCGGTTATGATAATTTTCTGAAGCAAAAATTTACATTCGTGGATACAACCAAGCCATTCGATCTGTAGTCCTTAAGCTCAAAGGTGCCATAATTACTGCCAGGACTCTTCATGCTATTCATACTAGTTGTTCCGAAAGTTCTGTCCGATTTGCAGATTTTTTAAAATTATGTAACTCTTTTCAAAATCGATATTTTCGAGCATGTTAATTTTTGTTGAATTAATCGAGTTTATGTTTATCATAAGCACAGCATGCCAAATAGAAATGGCAAACGAGAGAGAAGAGAAAATTTGAACAGTTCTGCAAGGTTTCTTCAAAAACGTCCACTTTAACGTACTAATGCTTCCATAGAAAGATAGGCAGACATATTTGGCTGTCATTATCAAGTAGCCTATGCTTCAAAGATCCTTTTATGGCTGAAAAGAATTCAAGTTATCTTTGCTGCACAGAATTTTTTACGAGCAAATCAAAACCCATTATTTGAGCCCTCCTCCGCACTCGCAAATATGCCGACTTCTCAATATTTGATTTTTTCTTGCTGTCGCGAACGAAGAAAGCTAACTGGCCAATGGTCCCCGCCTGCTCTCGCTTTACTCTATCATATGCAATATTGCACCACCTGTCGTTATACGTAGACTGTTGTTGCTTGGTGAATAACTGAGTTTGTCTTTCACCTCTAGAAAAAAACGGAAATGTAAAAAAACTTTTTTGTCGGAGGAAAAGTGTGAGTATGTTAGTGCACTACACCCTGAGTCATTATATAATATAATAATACTGGATTGCGTGAATACTGCGGGAACTCTCTCCATAGAAACAATTTCTTGAGCATGACTGCATTTTCGCAACTTAACTTCGGGGCTTGGACCTTCATAATCGGGAAGTTGTTTCATGAAGCATTAGTAGACACTACAAAGAGCAAGAAAAGTGTTTTCAGACGAAGTTCATATTTCTGCAACAAGCGCAAAACTCTGAGAAAATAGCTGCGTTAAAACAAGGCGACTAAAAAGGCTTACAAACGAACAGTACTTTCGGAAACCTAATATCTATAGTTTGATAAGCTCATACTAGTCGTTTCTCCTCTTTAGCGCCGGAAAGATTCAACAGCTAGTTTTACCTTGACCAAATCCTTGAATTTTATACCTCAAGATTCCCATGACTTCCCTTCCAGAAGCGCTTTGCAGATAGTAAAAGCATATTTAGGACCAGCATTTCATGCTCTATGAAATGCTTATCCTATGAGATAGTGTACATTTCTTATGGAAACGCCACGTCGACCAAGTAATCTTCTCTCGTGAGAAGAAGAATTCGTTGATCTACGAATAATTATAATTCTCGACTTTCTTGTCAGTATTTCATTGTTTCTTACGGAAGTTATTGGCTTAGTAAGCTGAAACATTCGTTATATGTATGTGACAAAAAATATGTAACTCAAATTCAAATGAAAAAATTCCTGGTCATTTTGAGGCGAATTTTTGTACTATTTAGGGCTACGTTTATGCCAAACCAATACAAGTGCAGGTGTGTCCGCAACTCATAAAATTTCAGTCCGCCAGCCCCTTCAGAAGCGCCCCTCCCAAATGTGCGAAGTTCCCTCAGTTTTTGACAGGTTTTTCACGGATATTCAGACTGTTTATCATCTTCCTCCTTGCATCCGATTGCGTCAAACTCGTCCACTTGGCAGAAAAGCTTTAGTTAAAAAATTTTTGAAGGTTCTCACGCTTCAAACTTCACAACGCAAAGCAGAGTCATGAAAAGGGCTAGAGATGAAAAAATCTAAGATTGTGTGGACGCTGCTTTCATCTGTGGAAGGAAATTGTGCTCAGACATGCAATTAGCGTTTTTCTTATATAGAGCCAAAAAACCGAATCTTGACGGCTGCGATACTGAATAGAGCATGCTCCGCTATTCCTGACCAATATAACTCGTTCATTGTTTCAATATTACTCTGGAGAAACTTAGAAGAACGGGCGCATATTTTTTCACAGCAGAAGTTTGACCAGAGAGTCTAATCACAAGTTTTACCCTAGGTGCAACCTCAGAACTACTCAGCTGATAGTAATCAATTTTTTTCGGGCACTCATTCATTTTTCTTCAGGGTCAAAGCGGTTTATTTACGCTTCCCTGTCCAACTTTTTCTCAAATCTCTAACCATGTGACCGTCCCAAGCCACACTGACCCTACCTACACTTTGGTTGCACTTTGCATGCATATGATTCCACTCATTGATAATCTAACAAGACTGCCGTATCCTGTCTTCAGTTGCTATGGAAAAACTCACTTTTATTTTGTTTTCCCTCTTCTGTGCGCCTACTTTCCCCATGTTGTTTTCAACGAATGTGCATATATTAGTGGCCCCATTCCTTTCTAAATCCTTTGCTTCAATGCTAATTTGGTCTTTGGGGGAGATAATCGTCCTAACCACCCAATCATTGCCTCTTTCTAGTGGATGTGTTGATAGTAGGCTCAAACCCCCATATAAAGATGCCACGCTGTATTCATGCCTGCCCATTGTAGCCACAAAATCGTTTTCTTTCAGCTTGCCGCGTAATCTGTGGTGCTGCTTTTTTAATATCAAACCTTTTCTCCTAAAATATCTGCAAAGTAAAGACAAAGCGCAAGATGAAAACGGTACTGCAAAATCACAATGTTTTTTTTGTTTTCCTTAAGAAAAGCAGATAGTAGGCTATCAAAAGGCGAGGAATTATTGATTTTATAAAGATAAAACACGAAACTTCCATTTGGGACCTAAGCAACCATTAAGTTAGCATTTTTTAAATAGATATCAGATGTAAGTGGCAGTCCGAGAAATTTGGAGGGAGAGGAAGCGATAGAAAAGAGGCGTTAGCCACGGCCTTCAAAAAATGCTGGGTTGCTTCAATAGATTTTGCGGGCCTTAGGCGAAATCCCAGGAAAAGGGGCACGGCAAAAGCCACGTCCCGAAAAAACTTTTTTCAAATTGATAAGAATCAAAAAATTTTAGAAACTACTTCACCATGCGCGCTAGCTCACAACTTGTGAGATCAAAACCTTTTAATCACGAATTTCTCCTTTTCCTTCTCTCTTCTGATATTTGGATGTACCTATCCGGTCACTTCCACAGTTTGTTCCCTTAGAAATAGTTTTACTGACGAGTCACTAGCATAGTGTCGTCGGTTGCCGCGCGCAATGTGCAGACTCACATTTCAAGTTGTAGATTATTCGCTTACGCACGCGCCACACTTAATCCACTTAATCCACTTATAAGTTCGCTTGACCTGCTTCGGCATTGGTCAATTCAGTGAACTGATCAAGAGCGGAGCGATTGTTTACTTGATCCGTTTGATCCACTTCGTCCGCTTTACCATTGGTCAGTTCACTGAACTGACCAATGACGAAGAGCAAGCATCGAGTATGGCGCGTGCCTTAAAATACCTTGGTTGAAGAAAATTGTACACAACCATGGAAAAATATACAAGAAGTTTGCAGTTGATTATTTCAATGCCAACCCAGGAAATAGTGGACACGCAACGGCGACGGTCAAAATGGGAACTACTCTTGGTTTGAAGGCATTGTAAGCACAGTCAAGCTTGGTCGTGTTTCCAACAAGTTTATGCTTGTGATCTATCATGAACCGAGCTTCAGACAATGTGTGCAAAGCGTTCTTAGTCTCCTAGCCTTTGGTTGATACTGCTAGTTTTGGGTGATATACTTTTGTTGGCTATGGAAATCTATGCACAAAATGATCCGCTGAATCAAAAACAACACTTTACAATGTTTCAAAGGACGCAGAAGTTCCAAAGGGAAAGAGGACACTTTTGACTGTTTGGTATCTAGACCATCACAGGCGTGCGAGTTTAGATCGTTTCAGCTCTGCAGTAACATCGCGTGGGGACCATGTAGCTTCTGTGAGTCGTCCTATACATCTCTTCTATCGTTCTCTCTCCTTGTTTCCCACATTTTATTTGTACGCTTCAGTCGTTCTTGTCATAATGCACTTAGCTGTAGACTTCTTTTTGATTTCGAAAGTGCAGATGTTTAAAGTTGATCATCTCCTACCGTTTACAACTTGTCTTGAGGCTGTCTCTTTTTTGTAATTTCAATGTGGATTAAGATTTGGATAATATGTGTATATAGTTATGTACATGCACATATCATGGAGTTGCACTTTGGTACCGTAATTTACCATAAAATCTACTTATCAGCGCCTTAAACGCGGTCCTCTCGATCCTTATATTCTTCTATCAGTGTTGCTTGTGGATTCAAATACTCATTTTGGATATACTTCTTATTGTTGCTTCCCCTCCTCTCTGACCAAGAAAATTGGCTTGGATTGAAAAGTGATTTTCTCCAATTGGAAGTGCAATGAAAGTGATCAGGATAAAAACAAGGTCAAAGCTCTAGGAGTCTAGAGTAAAGGGAGCCTTTGTTTTCTGCATGTGCTTCGCAACATAACATTCGGAACTGTCCTACCACTGACCTTTTGTTTTTATCGATCTTGATCGGTACAACCTTTGTGCGACGATAGGAACTTTCTTGAGACTATATAGGTGTTCTATGGAAGCGTCTTTATCATCTACTCATATATAATACCACTCTATAATTATACATGTCATCCATTCATATTTAATATCTACTTGCATCTTTTTGAAATATTATGTGATCACCTTTTTATAGGAAGGAGCATCTTCTTTCGATCCATCGCACATTTTTATCTATTTATTTGCAAATACAGTGGGTACATCATGAAAAAAGAAAAATGGAAAAAACATTGCCTTGCTTTGAAATTCGTTTCTTATCAGCTGATTCAATTATGCACCCTATATTCACAGAATTATGTTTTCTTGCGATGATAGTGGAAAGAATCTAAAGGTTTTTCCGATTGCTGAACTTGCCTAAAATGTTGAGAGTTTGAACTTGAAAGAAGCTGTACTTGAGTATTATATGTGAGAAAGTCAGTGACTTTGCTCTTTTCCCGCAGAGCTTTCCGCACATTCTGAACAAAAAAACTGCTGCTGAAAGTCTTCCGAATCGATACCCCAGAGCGGTTCCTGTAGCTTCGAGGGTTTTTTCTTGCAGAGTAAAATCAGTCTTACTAATTAGCTGCATTGTATTGGATGGACGATGTCAGAAGAAAATTGTCCATACATATCTTTCTCTTTGCAACTTGAGGAGTTCATATATCATTCATTCCCTGACGGGAGACGCGAGCACGCTTTGCGTACCTTTCATTAACAAGTTTGAGAGTTTCAACGAATCTGGTTGATTTACTATTAGAATTCGTAGAAGAACAGGTTTGAGCTCGTTAAACCACGCTGGGATGGAGACGTTCTTTCACGACTTCCTGATAGCAATCAACCGAAACGCGTTAGAACTCATTCATGAACTTGTTGATCAAATGTACGCAAAGCGTGCTCGCGTTTCTTAATCAGAGAATGGATATGTACCGTGTGAACATTTCTCTGCCTTTGGGTCTACATAGTTTACATACGCCTTATCAGAAAAAAGTCTGTTTCGTCTATCCCTTCTTCACATCATCCTGCGCAGTTTTTATCTCTCTGATACAGCCTGAATTATCTACGAATTATCAATACAGGTCAGTCTTGCTGTGTCAGGTATAAAGATAGACGAGGCAAAGATATTTCATTCATAAGTAGTCATCAGTTTTAGGCCTCGGACAGAGTTCACGCGATTTCATCGCCTCGTGATTCTTCAAACAAGACTACAGTTACGAGTCTGCATACCGATCATATTGCACTGTGGTAGCTAATTAGTCACGATTAGTCGTTCGGAAAACTATCACATCTGAAAGGCAGGAGCATCAGCATGCAATGGGCTCTTAACTTTGTCTTGTTAAAGAATCGCGAGACGATGAAATCGCGCGAAGTCTGCCAAAGGCCTCAAATCGTCTTTGCGGCTTGGCCAAATGTTTCATGAGTTTCTTCGATTCACGTGTTTCTCTGACTAAAAGATTCATTTCTCATCCTTGCTTCGCAGATCGAATTATTCCTTTTTGGGAATTTGTCAAATAGGGAAAGTTTTTCGCTTCAGGTTCCTCTCCCATGCTTTCACGACGTGCTTTGGCTCGAATCGGTGGCATCCGAGGCGTTATGACTGGGCCGGCCATAAAAGCTCGTCTAGATCACGAAGGCCATCCACCACCACCAATTACGCAACTGAATGAGTACGAAATATCATTGAAAGATACAGGTTGGTTATTTCTGAAAAGATTTAGTCTTTTGAAAACGTCTTCAGCTTTTTTCTTTCTTTTTTTTTTGTAAATCTAGTATACCCTATTTTAGCACATTTAGAGCTATAAGAAAGAAGGTGGTATCAATGGATCTCATCAGTGTTTCTGCCGTTTTGGTGTATTTTACTTCAATTGAGGTTCCAAGTAATAATTTAGTAAAATATATCTCGAAGACCTCGGTTTACTTTTCGGGTTGAAAATTTCCTTCACCTATCCCACGTACTTATATTCTAAAAGTCATCCACTGTTTGAAGGTAATAAGTCTTCTTTCTTAAGCTGTTTCCCTCGTTTCACCTTATTAAAGTGCTGGCTTAGATTAGATTTACAGTATAAGATGATCGCTATCTGATCTTCGATATAGATAGAACTGCGGTAGAGATCACCCTGAACTTTAAAGGCAATGGCTCGGCAAATCTCAACGTAGTCAAATTTGCGCTTACCTGGGGTTTTTTTAATACGCTGATCCCGAAAATCCATTTTTGAAAGCTTGAAAACGGCGAAAATAAGCGTTTTTTGATGCCCTTCCCGTTGATATACGAGTGGAGCAGTCGATGAAGCTAAAACGTGGCAGGACCCAATGGTTATAGCGTTGCGGCGGGCAGCCTCCAATGGTGAGAAGGACATTGCCAACTCGTCCAGATTCGTGTAAGATTGGCCTGCGCGTGTAAGTTCGAGAGCGATTTTCTCGGCAGGGAAAGCATGCTGTGCAACCGGTATTGCACTGTTGTCATGGTTGGGCGATAAGGAACCTACCGCGTTAAAATCCCGAGTTGTTGGATTTTGTCGATCCACTGCCTTTAATGTTACCACCCCAGAAATTCTTTTAAACTCTTATTAATGGCGCACTTGAGCACACTGACTTCGCAGTGACTTCCGAACGGCTGTTCAGAACTTTCAAAAAGGCGAAAATTTCTGAGGATTTTGGGTTTTGCCACCATGAATCTTTTTGCAGCAGGTCCTTGCTTAGTCGCGCAAAGTCTTCTGAAGTCATCACACTAACTCTAATCTGATGAAGAGTAATTTGGAGTACGTTTTGTGCTGTCTGATTTGGAAGCAACATCAACACTGGTAGAGATTGGTGCGAGGCATCAAGAGAAGAGGGAGTTGTTAACAGAAAAGTAGTTACATTTCTCAAGACCTTGAGCAGCGTTTTTTCTTCTACCTGATCGAATCAGCAATTTTTCTTAACTTTCACTGTGCTATATCACCCTTGTAAATATAAATTACCTTTGTAAGTGCTATGATGTTTTATTGTTCCAATGTTCTTTGCTCAGCGGCGGCCACTTTCGCTTCCACCGCTGCATGTACTACTTTATCTGTGTGTAAAATGAGTGTTCGATGGAACCTGATAAAAAGTGCCGCGACACGTCACTTTGTCTGCTCGTTGGTGGGGAACAGTCTGATGTGTGAACAGTGATTATCCATGTGTACTAATGTATCACGCTTTGCTTTTACTTCACCAGTCCTATCTAAAACATAATGGGGATGTTATAGAAGCAGCCTTACGTCAGCAAAATTGTTTCTGTTTAGTTCGACGATTTTCCCACAATGTTATCAAGCCACTGGTTCGAGAAATGGATGAAAAGTCACAGATGCACCAGTCGGTGATTACCGGAGCGTTTGAGAATGGCGTGAGTTATTGGATTATTATATTTTTCACTTTCATTCTTGAAAATTTTTGAATCAGTTGCACAACAGGAAATACTCTGGAAAATTGTTCATAGTTTAGCTAAAAGTGAAAAGCAATAAAAAGAGTCTAAGTGTCGACTGGTAAATTTTTGTTCGACAGTCCATTGTGGGCTTACCTCACTTACTTCTTTGGTAACTCAACCAGGTGAGAAGGTTGGCGGGGGATAAGAAAGAGAAATTTGAGAAGCTCATATACCTATACCTTAGGCCTTGGGAACTATCTGTAACTTTCAGTTCATGGGAATAGAAGTGCCAGAGCAATATGGCGGACCGGGAACATCCTTTTTTGATTCCATCCTTGTGGTCGAAGAATTAGCAAAGGTAAGTGAAAACTTCAAGTGTCCCAATTATTTAATCTTTTAGATCTGGGGTGCTTTCAGGTTGATCCGTCGGTATCTGTGTTCGTTGATGTACAAAATACCCTTGTAGCTCCACTGATCATAGAACATGGAACGGAAGAGCAAAAGCAGAAGTATCTGCCGAGGATTTGTGATGAATGGGTTAGTTTTTCTGCTCATAATCACTTGAAAGCACACAATCTGGTATCTGGTCTAGGAGCTGACCAATACCAAGAACCTATCATCATCATGATTTTTTCCATATTTTGCATACTTCTAGGTTGGATCTTTCTGTTTATCGGAGGTAGCATCGGGTTCCGACGCCTTTGCCATGAAGACAGTGGCGAAAAAAGACGGTGATGATTTTCTTATTACGGGCACAAAAACATGGATTACCAATGCAGGCCATGCTAGCTTCTTCTTGGTGAGATTTTCATTCTCTTATCTTTGTCGACTCCATGTATCCTCGCACAGGTATTCGCCAATGCTGATCCGTCCAAAAATTATAAAGGCATCACATGCTTTCTTGTTGACCGTAATGAGGAAGGTGTACAAGTTGAGCGTAAGGAGGACAAACTTGGTATACGGGCTTCATCGACTTGTCCTGTCCACTTTGAGAGTGTTCGCGTTCCAAAATCCGCAATACTTGGTGAATATGGTAAAGGTTAGTAAGCAGTATCGATCGTTAGCCACTGATCTTTCAGTTTTTTCTATTCTTTCGACTGCATTTTTGCTCCAGACTTTTTATATGAATATTGGTTGATAGGCCTCAACTGAACCGCGGTTCAAGCGGCAGCTCATAGGATTCATTCGCGGCCAGGAGGATCTGCATCAAACTTTCACCCTGTACCTCGCATCTTAGCGTCTCCTAGCACGATAGTGGTCGAAAGTTCGAAACTGAATTTCTCGGCCAAGAATGGATTATGAGCTGCCGATCGGGCAATCCATCCGCTCAAGGCTACCCAATCATTATCCACATAGAATTCTTCGTACTCAGATTTGCCTAGACATTGTCTCCAAAGTTTTGCAGGGTACAAGTACGCAATTGAGTGCTTGAATGGGGGTAGAATTGGTATTGGAGCGCAGATGGTAGGATTAGCTCAAGGTTGTTACGACAATGCTATACCTCATCTCCAAGAGCGAAAACAATTCGGGTCAAGGATCATTGATTTCCAGGTGAGGCATGAGCTCGCTAGGCTGTTTTCAGAGCATAAAAAAAGTCTCTTTTGATTGCAGGGCATTCAACATCAAATAGCCCAAGCAGCTGTAGAGATTGAAGCAGCTAGGTTACTCGTCTACAACGCAGCCAGAATGAAGGTATTTTGAAAGTTGTCGAGTTTAGGTATCTAAAAAAAGATGTTATAGGACAATGATATCAAGTACGTGAAAGAGGCGGCCATGGCCAAGCTCTATTCTTCTCAGGTATGCGCATTTTGAGAAACAATTGGTTTCTACTTTGAATCGAGAATCTTTTTTGATCATGGATGTTTTACTGGTGGAAATTGTGTGTGGTTTTCGTTCTACATATTCGTCGTGTTTAGGTAGCTACAAATGTGACATCTAAGTGCGTTGAATGGCTAGGAGGTATAGGTTTCACGAAAGAGTATCCCGTGGAAAAATTCTATCGCGATGCTAAAATTGGTAAGTTTGATAAGTACTCAATTTTTCCGTTCATTCATTCGCTTAAGCTACATTCCCCTTTAGGAACAATATACGAAGGAACCTCAAACATCCAACTGAATACTATTGCTAAATTGATTGATACGGAGTATAAACACCATTCATAAAGCATACGTTCGCTTTTTAGCTTGTACTTTCTGAAATCTCACCAATGTTTATGTTCCAATCTCAAACAATGTGCCCTACCTTTAGAACGCGTATTTGTATATGTGTATAATTGAATAGTTGTTTGTACTATTTATCTGTTTTGTGTGTTTTTGACAGAGTTTCTATAAATATCTCTATCTCAATATCAATCACCGGAATTAAACCCAGTATTCGCAACAATGCATCCATACAAGTTCTTCTTTCCGCTTGACAGCAGAGAAATAATGACCAAATGAAACAAGTACGCGAATCTGATTTATTAGCTGCAATCGGGCTTACGGTTTGCTCCTACAATGAAATACAGAGTTACTACCCCCCTTTAGATGAGAGGAAAATGAAGCAACGAATTTACAAACATTGTTACATAAGGGACGTTCTTCGACAAGAAGAGTGAGGTAGTGACCGGAATTTTTTGTGCAGGTCAAAAGCCAAGGGACCCGTCATACTTCGCGGGAAAAATCCAGAAGCGCCCAAAAAAGCCGGAAAAAGCCCGGAAGAGCCAGAACGCAGAAACGAACTTTTGGTAGAATTCTGACATTATTTTGATGACGACAGAAAATGAAAAAAGACTCGGTTGCGAAATCAACACAGCCTTAGCGTCAAAACAGAAGGGGCGTTTCGGCTCTTTCGGGCTTTTTTGAGCTTCGGGCTTTTTTCGGCGAAGTATGACGGGTCCCTAAGAGAGTTAGGGAGCACAAATCGTTTCCACAGCATCTAGAGTGTCATCTAGCTTCCGAAATTCTCTGCTGAATTTGGGAATCACTCAGCCAGGAGACGACATTACTGTATTGCAGTGGGATTCAAGACGTCAGGATCTTGCCCAAACAATCGAAAAGATGAACCTGTATCGATAATTCTTTAGATTTTTTAAGCTTGTGTCAACAGGAATGGCATCTGGTGCAGAAAGCATCTGATTAAGAAAACAAGTCTGAGAAAAACCTGTTGGTGTTTGAGCAAAGAAGCCACTATCACAAAAAGTTCTGTACGTTGCAGTGGAAGATATACGCGATTTATGACACGCAAAGACTGGGCGCCGTTCTGTCTGACGGAGAAAGTTCGTGCTGGGAGAGATAGTAGGTGGTAAGAGAAAAACAGCGCTCGATTAC